AACGGGAAACCACCCCTTTATTTCACCCACGAAAGTTCATGATATGAGCAATAGCTGCTAAGCCTCGGATGATGAGCTTCGCGATCCGGATGGCACCCGGCGCATCTTCTAGTCCGGGGAGGAATGTGTGAAATCAGTTACCGGGCATGTAGACGTGACTCATCAGGCTTTACATGCGAAATGTGCTACTGGTGAAAAACAAAAACTTAATAACCGCAAACCATACAACATAGCTACATGGAATGTCCGTGGTATTTTACAACCGGGCAAACAAGCTATTCTGGAGAAGGAACTGGAACGAACCAATATCTCTGTGGCCGGGCTCTCTGAACTTCACTTCCGCAAAGAGGGGCACTACATAACTAATTTTTGACATTTCATGTGCTTCTCCGGCAACACTAACAAAAGTATCAATGGTGTTGGCTTCTGGGTTTCAAAATCTCTTTCTCCTTATATACTGGGGTATCAAGCTATCAGTGATCGTATAATTTCCTTAAAACTAAATGGATCTCCCTCTATTGTACATTTGATTCAGGTCTATGCGCCTACCTTAACTGCTGATGATGATACAACTGAATCTTTTTTCAACGAGCTGGAATCATATCTGCAAAATATCCCAAATAAAGAAATCGCTATCATCATGGGTGATTTAAACTCAAAAATCGGTGTTACTATGGCTGACGAACATATACGAAATATTGTGGGTAGATATGGAATAGGTGAACGCAATTCAAGGGAGACCGCCTTATCCAGTTCTGCGTTGACAATGACTTGACAATAATGAACTCTATGTATAGGAACCACCCCAGAAGATTGTACACTTGGATCTCACCTAACGGACGACACCGAAATCAGATCGATTACATAATGATTAAACATCGCTGGAAAACATCTATTAGCCAATGTAAAACACGACCTAGCGCTGACTGCGGCTCTGACCACCAACTTCTTGTTGCAACGCTAAAGCAAAAATTCAAGGCATGTGCTAGGATCCGAAACAAGAGGATATCAAAAATAAAAGATACACAACAATTTAAAATCCAATGTAATGAAAGATTCGAAAATATTTTACCAACTATCGTCACTCATGATTCCGAAAAAATTTGGTTATCTTTTAAAAATACCTTGATACAGACCTTGACTGACTGCAAGGCACAGTCTAATGCCGTCTCAACCGGACCAAAAAAAGTGTGGATGTCTGCAGATACTTTTGACCTCGTTGAAGAACGTAGAAAACTTAAAATTGCTGGAATCGAGAACCCTCTCAGGAATTCCCAGTACCGACAGCTATCTAGAGCTATTCAGGCTGCTTGTAGACGAGACAAAAACAAGCAGACAACTCACACGTAAATTCAAGCAGAAATCTTGGTATATCAAAGATAATGAAGGTAATGTACAGACGGATTTGGACAAGGTTATTGATGTTTGGAGGGCGTATTGTCAGTCTTTATACGCCAATACGGACCAGATGCCAGCGGACGCCCCGGTTGTACCTGACTGCCAGACCTCCACTTTCCATTCTCCTTCAACAGAGACACACCACACTAGTTTTGAGTCTGAACCTGACATACTTTTTTCCGATATGGAATTCGCTTTAAAAAGACTTAAGTTAAACAAAGCAGCAGGATATGATCTCATTACTGCAGACGTCTTGAAGCATCTTCCGGAATGTGGAGTGAAAATATTACATCGATTGTACAATGAAATATGGCACACAGGCGTCTGGCCTGAGGATTGGAGAAAGACCATAATCATACCTCTTCATAAGAAAGGTTCAACAAATAATTGTAACAACTACAGGCTATTAGCTCTAATATCACACGCCAGTAAGGTGATCCTCTACATACTGCAACGGCGTCTAGAAATCTTCATAAGTTGGCAAATAGCACCTGAGCAGGCTGGATTTGTAAAGGGCAGAGGTACTAAAGAGCAAATCCTTAATGTACGAAACATCATAGAAAAAGCCAGAGAATACCAGATCCCGATATTTATATGTTTCGTCGATTATACAAAGGCCTTTGATAATGTTAGATGGGACAAACTATGGAACATATTGACGACAATGGGTGTACCTAAACACTTGACTCACCTTATTAGCAAAATGTATCAAGATAACCTGGCATATATTCGAATGGACGGATATCTGTCTGACAAATGCACTTTGGAGAAGGGAGTACGCCAAAGATGCGTTTTATCTCCCTTATTATTTAACATCTATTCGGAGTTCATAATGCGCAGAGTTTTGGATGGTTGGGAGGGAGGAGTAAACCTAGGTGGTGTTAAGATATCTAACTTGCGTTTCGCAGACGACACTACACTTCTAGCCTCTACTCCAGAAGAAATTATTAAATTATTAAAAAAACTCGAGGTAGAAAGTGCTAAATTTGGACTCATGGTTAACTACAACAAAACCAAAATCATGGTTATTGATCGCCAACAACAGTTTCCTGAAACCCAAACTATTGCGGGATGCGAGGTAGTCTCATCTATGATATATCTTGGAGCTCTAGTTAACAACACAGGCAGTTGTGAATCCGAAATTGAAAGACGCATTCAACTAGCAAGAGCAGCAATGAGTGAACTAAACGGGGTCTGGCGTGATCGTCACATTACTATGACAAACAAAAAGAAACTCGTTTCAACTCTGGTCTTTTCCATATTTTACTATGCATGCGAGACATGGACAGTCAAAGAATCAGATCGACGACGTATAGACGCCTTTGAAATGTGGACATGGAGACGCCTGCTTCGAATTCCATGGACGGCTCGCCGTACAAATATCTCGGTTCTGGATGAAATTAAACCGGATCAGCGTCTCTCCAGTACCGTTTACTCTAGAATTTTAAAGTTCTTTGGCCATATCCATCGAAGTGATCACAAAATGGAGCGGTTGGTGGTCCAAGGAAGGCCTCAGACTCAACGCCAACGCGGAAGATCTCCACAGCGATGGGCGGACATTACTAAAAAGCTTCTCAATAAACAGTATACTGAGGCAATACATATAACTGATGACCGCGACCAGTGGAGAAATATTATCAATCAAACTGTCCGAGCTGCTGAAGCCCAATTATGAACCATAACACATCTACTAAGATGTTAATGACTGTAATGATGAAGTTTTCTTTTTGATCTAAAAAGCCTAAATTTTTAAGCAGAAAAGAAAAGAACTTTCTAGAAGTTTAAAATAAGACGTCAAAACTCTAAATAGAAAGAATCTAACCTCTTTTCGTTTGAGAATTTTCGCGAACATTGAAATGTCTACAAAATAGAAGAATCTCACCTATTTTCTTTAGAGAATATTAGAGGAGATTAAAGATTAGAAAGAAGATTAATTATTGAGATGTCAAACTGTCACAATTCATTTTTGGAAAATGTCAAGACATTCAATGTCAAGATTCAACACCCTTAGAGGTTTTAGACTCAACAGATATGACAGACTGTGATAAATTTTATCAACATTTTATAAAATCATTTATGATACAACCTCATTAAGTTTCTCCCTGATGAAGGACATAACCAATGTTATGTTTAAAAGAGTACACCTTTCATTTTTATTGCTGCATACCCATATATTGCTACATACCCTATATATATATATATATATATATATATATATATATTATATATATATATATATATATATATATATATATATATATATATGTATATATATATATAATATATATATATATGTATATATATTTATATATATATATATATACATATATATATATATATATTTATATATATATATATATATATATATATATATATATATATATATATATATATAGTGTGGAAACCACTTATGGAATAAAATTGTGTTTGTGTTATTATAGAAAATTATATTTATATATATATTTATATATATATATATATATATATAATATATATATATAATATATATATATATATATATTATATATATATATATATATATATATATATATATATATATATATATATATATATATAGTGTGGAAACCACTTATGGAATAAAATTGTGTTTGTGTTATTATAGAAAATAATAAAAAACTCTGGGACACGTTAACTTTTAAATTTAAATGTGCGCTTTTTAAACATAAATTTCAATGTACAGGGTGATTCACGCAAGCCTGGCATAGTCCATAATCCTTATTTTTAATGAAACGCCCTGTATATTTTTATGTTTTTAACAGATTCTGAATAACCTGACTTCAACGAACTGTATCATGTAGGGTCTATAATGAATAATACAAGGTGAAATTTTGAAATTAATAATTTATCACGTGTTACGGTATTCTTTTAAATTAGTCAAATACAGATAATACACTTCTACTCTAAGTGTCAGTATATTGGGGAAAATTTCTGTTTAGTAACCTTGTTAACATTTTTTGTCACGAATAGGTAAAAACTTTTTAGATAGTCTGCTAATTATACTAAATCGGTAAATAATGCGGATTGTTTACAATCAGTTGGGTGTGTTGACATTTTACGTTAAAATAGTACATTCCTAATTAAAAGCTAAAGCTAATTTCTTGCAGAAATAAAAATGAAGTATTTGACTGAGACACACCGAATTGAGATTTTAAGGATGATCGGTTACGGGGAGAACTGTAGAAGTCAAGTTAAAGTAGCAAACTTAATTAATTAGAGGTATCCTCAGTTACCTAATATTTCAGAAGATACTGTGTCTAAAATTTACAAACCAATAAAAAGAAAACCAAAATTCATTGAAGATGAGGTGAAAGTGGATAATTTGTTAAGTGTCGGAGAAAATCCAACGTCAAGTTCACGTCAAATTGCACGTCAAAATAATGTGTGTGAGACAACTATCCTAAGATGTCTGCACGAAGAAAAACTTCATCCATATACATTGACTTTTGTGCAGGGGCTAACAGAAGACGATCCAGATTGTAGAATTGATTTCTTCGAAAGAATGATCGATAAAATTTTATTCCATAAGTGGTTTCCAAACTGTATATATAAATTTTAACTTATTTTTTTTATTTTTGTCGTAGATACAAAGAAGAAATGAAAAAAGCGAAAGCTATACTATTAGACCAACCCATGAAGGGAGTGGAAAAGGCGGTTTGGTGGATAGAGTACGTCATTAGACACAAAGGTGCCAAACATTTGAGAAGTCCAGCAGCGGACATGTCGTTCTTCGAGTACTTCATGGTCGATGTTGTACTATTTCTATTGACATGTATTGCAGTTGTTTTGTACTCTGCATATAAATTATTGACCGTATTACGAGCGATGTTAAGGAGTTCAAAAAAGATTAAAAAGCAATAGTTTTTAATTAATTCTAATTTAGTATTAATGTATTTTAATGTGTTCGTTATAAGTTACTTTATAAAATAAAGAAATATATTTTTTAATTAAATAAAGGGTCAGGTATTGCACTTTATTCAAAAATCATAAGGGTACTTTAAGAAACGTGAGTTCAAATATATTATTTATGATTTACCTATAAAGGCACAATATTATCACCAATAATGTATACAAAAGTATGTTTTCTTCTTTAAATGCTCTTGAAACGTTGTAGTGTTTTGTAAACGAGGAAAAACCAAATATTGTTGTTTACTAAGAACCTTTAACTATTCAACAGAGAATCCAAATTAATAACTATATATTTGAGCAAGCCAAACACTTCACATATTTTGTATCGTTAGGAAATACAAGAAATACGATAAACAAGGAAGAAAAAAGACATGCAACAATAGCAAACAGAAATCGCCATATTCTTCAAAACATCTGAGAAATAAAAGATTAAAACATTCAGTAAAGCTTAACATCTTCTTTTAGGAGCAGAAGAAGAACTTCTGCTTCTGGGAGAAGACAAAATATAGAAAATATGGAAAATTGAGACCAAATTTTAAAAAGTGCTGGAATATCTTACGAGCAAGTAACACAACCAGAAGCTGAAAATATTTTAAATACAGTAACTGAAAAGTTGCAAAAAAATAATGGAGAAAATGAGCAAACAAGAAGAATTTAACAAAAAAATACTTAAAATATAGAAACATGGAAATGGAATACAATGAAAATGGAAGCAAGAGTTAGTAATAACCCTGCAAACACAGAAAATAGCTGTCGCTGTTAAAAATAATATTCACCACTGGGAACGTAAAAACATTAAAACTAAAGAAATACAATATGCTTCAATCAGTGGGAAAATTAAGAAATACACACTTAATATTGCGGCTTCAGATTTTCCTCATCAACATAACCTCAAAAGAGAAGACTATGCTAACTTCTTATCAATCTTGGGTGCAAAATATAGACTTTAATGCAAAAAATACCTGTTAGGGTCCCAAGCTTTCAACACCTAATGATAAAGAATTGCAGCATGTTATGACTTAACTCCAATGTAGATAAGACTCTACTGCTAAACTCTTTTACAAGTCAAGTGATGCAAACATAATCCCGGACCTCCTAAATTTTTTTATATCCAGAGGTACACCTCTGCAACAAATTTTATATAAAAAGGGGGATGTAGAGGAGCTTATATCTAACCACTTCCCAATTCTACTAACCATTAGTGAGCAAAAATCCGTGTCCTAGCCAACTTGCATGGAGGAGGAGTTCTGAATTAAGTAGGAACTTTTCTGTACTTCGTGGAAGACGGACTGGCGGGGGCGTCCTCAACCCCGACACGGCGCGTCCCACTGGCTGATAGGGAAATGTTCTACATATATGTAGGATAGGTGTGAATAAGGTTTTACCAAATAAGCACCCGCGGACCAACTGAGGATATGGCATACCGCAGCTATGACATTACTTCATTAAGGCTATAGCGGAATTATTTCTATTGTTGGCTTAATGACAGATACTCACGGGCGGATATCACATAATAATTTAACTGACCGTGATACTGCGATCAGGCAGGCAAGGGGAAACCACCTGATTAAATTCCCGTGACTAAACCATCATGAATATATCGAATCAGTTAGATATGCTTAGCGATCCAATTAGCGATCGGCGCTAAGTTGGTTCCGGGCCAACTAGTGTCAAATGGGCTACCGGGCATGTGTTTGTGAACAACCAAGCAACACATCCGAAATTGACGCCTGGAAGAAAATCAGATTTTTAGTAAAGAAAAGCAATGGGAACAGCAACCTGAAATGTTCAAGGATTATTGCAACCAGGCAAACTGCATATACTACAAAGAGAAGTCGAAAGAGAGGATATAGAAATATGCAAACTTTCGAAGACCCATTGGAAAGGACAAGGACACTTCCGAACGGCAGATCATGTTGTATACATATCGGGAACAAATAACACAGGAAGAAATGGTGTTGCAATTATGGTGACTAAAAAAGTTTTGCAATACGTGTATGATTACCAACCGATAAATGATAGACATAAAAATAACCTTACTAGCATCACCGAACAAAATGCACATTATTCAGGTCTACATGCCAACCTCAAACGCGTTAGACAATGAAGTGGAAGACGTATACTGCGTTATTGAAGACACAATAAGAAATATTCCATTTAAAGAACCACTCATAATCATGGGCGATTTTAACGCTAAGGTAGGAGAAACAAGAAATGATAACATCCAAAATGTAGGAAACTATGGGTTAGGTGTTAGAAACAGTCGAGTCGAACGTTTAATAGATTTTGCAACCGAAAACAGTTTGGCCATTGTAAATAGAATGTTCAAACATCATGCCCGTCGTTTATCGACGGGGACCAATCCAAATAGAGAATAAAGAACCAAATCGACTACATATTGATTAGAAACAGATGGAAAACATGTTTTACAAACGTTAAAACTAGACCAAGAGCTGAATGTGGATCCGTTCATAAATTGTTATGGGCTTGCTTCATGATGAAGCTAAAAAGAACAATGCCGCACCAAAATCAAAACAGGCTGGAGATTTCAAATCCAAAAACATTAAGAGATGCATTAAAGGAAACCAGTATGTTAAACACACAAGACAACCCAGAAGAAATGTGGAAAGGTTTCAGAAACGCCATAGAAACCTCTGTAGAAAGAACCAGAACCCAAAGAAAGATAATAAAAAAACACTGGATGACAGACAGAACGCTGCAACTTCTCGAAGAGCGAAGGACAATCAAATCTCTCATATATCAAAACAACAACAACAAAAACGAATTAGCAATCTTAAATAGAGTTATTAAAAGAGCACGTAGGGATGATAAAATAAACATATAAATGAAGAATGCGAAGAATTAGAGAGACATGCAAACCGGTATGAATCCCATAAACTATATAACAAAGTCTGATATCTATCCAGGCAATTTAAACCAATCACACAAACAATAATGGATCAAAACCAACGTATTATAAATGACGAGAAAGGAATTGCGGAACTATGGAGAAAATATTATTAAAGTCTATATGCAGATGATCCCCAGAATGCAAATCACGATGAGTTCACTGCAGAGAAAACCAAACATTTTAAAGTCAGAGGTAGAAAAAGCAATCAATAAATTGAAAAATAGAAAATCTCCTGGCGCAGACGAGATCACCGCAAAAGTAAAAGAGACTGGAGATGTTGAAGTAAATGTTATTCATATAATCTGCAAAAAGATTTGGGAAACCGGAGAGTGGCCCAACGACTGGATAAGTGGACAAGATCCACTTTCATCCCTATATTCAAAAAAGGAACTCCGCTAGATTGCAGTAACTACAGAACAGTAACCCTTATATCCCATGCAAGCAAGATTCTACTTCATGTAATACATGAAAGATTAAAAGCTTTTCTATTGCCTCAGATATCAGAAGAACAAGCAAGATTTGTCCCAGGAAAAAGCATAAGGGAAGACATTTTTAATATCAGACAGCTAATCGAAAAAACTTGTAAATTCAATACTCCTATGCTTATGTGCTTTTTGGATTACACAAATGCCTTCGATAAAGTCGAGTGGCAACAGCTATGGTCCATACTAGCGGAAATGGGAACACCCCACCACTTAACCCTTAACTACTGATGTGGATGTTTCAGGACGTAGACTCTGACATGCGGTATGTCATACCGTTGCCTATTCTAATTTGTTTGTAATATGAATTTATCTTATATCACTGTATTTGTTTTTTATATCAACTACGGAATGACTCTTCACTTTGCTGTAGCATAATATACTGCTACAAGTAAAATAAACTTTACTTTTTCACGAATATTATGAATGCATGCATAATATTTAAAAAAAATGGTGGACGTTACTACAAAATCGTTTATAAACTAAATTGCAAGAAAAATTGATTACTTGTGACTAACAAATGGTAAAATAATGTTAAAAGAAACAGACTAATGATTTAAATTTAATAAGAACCTAAAATACAAAATTCTGACGATGTCCAAAAATAACTAGTCATTTTGCGCGCAAGATCCGCAATTTTTCTTTGTACACTGTAAGCACACTGGTTTTCCACAAAAAAAGCACACATAAAAAATCCACAAGGAAAAATTCCACGTTGTTCTCCGAGTGCAGAGGTTCCCTCTCACCGGCTCTGGAACCCAATTGAGCCATGTGTTACCTATAGTCAAATTTAATTTAATACTGAACATCACAGTTATTTTATAACACAATGTACAATATTTTATAACTAAATGTAATTTAAAGGGTTTTTACCCTAATATTTTGGTGGCTCAGGCATTGTGACCTAGCATTTTCGATTTTAATAACCTGATGATGGACTGTGTGGTCCGAAAACGTTTGTTTTATTGATGTGGCCCTTTTAAGGGTTTTTAAATAAATATACCCATTTACAAAGATTAACCTCTTTTTTTTTTCTTTTTTTTTTTTTTTTTTTTCACACATAAAAAGTCTTTCGCTTTAATGCACTTGGGCATAAGTAACACGTCTTCTTTTTCTCAAGCCTTTCTTCAAAATCTCTGCTTCTTTTTGGCGTTTTTGTCCTAGTATTCGTTCAATACCATATAATAATTCTCTCGGGATTCTGAGATTTTCGAGTCTTCTTTGTAGATGAGGTAAAACTAATTGTTTCGCCAACTCCTTTGTGTAGTTTAGCCTTTCCATATTATCTTCTTTTAGTGATTGGTACACAACATGCGAATTAACAGCAGCTATATCAATGATGCGGTAAAAAATAGTAAGTGGGCATCGGCGAGAACTACGTTTTACAGAATATTTGGCACACTTGGCATTTAAAGTATCGACACCTCCTTTTGTACGATTATAATGAGCTATAATTTCTGGTTTTCCAGTAATCTGATCCATGCCTATTGAATGGTGCATCGAAGAAATAAGTAAGACAGCCCTCGATTTTTTTTTGCACATGGGAAATTAGGGATAAACTTTTCGTAAATCCGTAAGTAGTTCAATTTACTTGCCTACATCGGTGTGGCTGGAATTCCGGAGGGATTTCCCGTTTATTTTTCTCGAGGGTT